ATGAAAAATATTTTTCATATGCCAGAACACTAATCTACTACACAGATGAATCTGGAAATATTTTACAGTGTCAAGGTATGATTTTAAAATAATGAACAAAATCTGTCATGGTAATTACTCCTTAACTCTTTTTCAGCCTTTCATATTCTCCCTTTTTTATCCCATTGATTCTGAAATTTAAAAATTCAAAATTTTTTAACAAAAATTAAAATATTGATTTTGTAACCTGAGGCTTTGCTGAATTTGTTTATCAATTCTAGTAGTCTGATGGCAAAATATCTGGCGTTTTCTAGATATAAGATCATATCATTGGCAAAGAGCAATAGTTCGAACTCTTCTGGCCCCATCTGGATGCCTTTGATTTCCTTCTCTTGTCTGATTGCTCTGGCTAGGACTTGCAGCACTATGTTGAATAGAAGTGGTGATAGAGGGCAAACTTGTCTGGTTCCAGTTCTAAGTAGGAATGCTTACAATTATTCCCCATTCAGTATGATGTTGGCTGTGGGTTTGTCATATATGGCTTGTATCATTTTTAGGTAAGTCTTGCCTATGCCTATTTTGTTAAGCATTCTTATCACAAAAGAGTGTTGAACTTTGTCGAATGCCTGTTCTGCATCTATTGACAGGATCATGTGGTCCTTGTTTTTTCTTCTATTTATGTGGTGAATTGCATTTATAGATGTGCATATGTTGAACCATCCCTGCATCACTGAGATGAAGCCCACTTAGTTGTGATGGATTATTCTTTTGATAAGCACCCACATTTTGTCTGCTAGGATTTTGTTGAGAATTTTTGCATCTATATTCATAAGGGATATTGGTCTATAGTTTTCTTTTTTTGTTGCATCCTTTCCTACAGAATGGGAAAAAAATATTCACATGTCACACATCCGATAAAGGGCTGATAACTAGAATCTATACAGAACTCAGGAAAATCAGTGAGAAAAAGTCAAACGAGCCTATCAAAAAGTGGGCAAAGGACATGAACAAAAGCTTTTCAAAAGAAGACAGAATATTGGCCAATAAACATATGAAAAAATGCTCAACATCTCTAATCATCAGGGAATGCAATCAAAACCACAGTGAGATATCACTTATCTCCAGTGAGAATGGCCTTCATCAAAAAGTCCCATAATAATAAATGTTGGCATGGATGCAAAGAGATAGGAGCATTCATACACTGCTGATGGGACTGCAAACTAGTACAACCTCTATGGAAAGTAATACAGAGATACCTCAAAGAGCTACAAGTAGAACTACCATTTGATCCAGTAATAACATTACTGGGCATCTATCCAAAAGAACAAAAGACATTCTATAAAAAAGACATTTGCACTAGAATGTTTATAGCAGCACAATTCACAATTACAAAGATGTGTAAACAACCCAAGTGCCCACCAATCCATCAATGGATTAATAAAATGTGGTATATGTATACATGGAGTTGTACTCACCACAAAAAACAATGGTGATCTAGCATCTCTTATATTATCCTGGATAGAATTGGAACCCGTTCTACTAAGTGAAGTATCATGAGAATGGAAAAATAAGCACCACATGTACTCACCATCAAATTGGCATTAACTGATCAACAGTTAAGTGCACATATAGTGATAACATTCAATAGGTGTCTGGCAGATAGGAGGGTTGGGTATATACACACCTAATGGGTGTGGTACGCACCATCTGGGGGATGGACACCCTTCAAGCTCTGATTTGGGTGGAGCAAAGGCAATATACATAACCTAAACATTTGTACCCCCGTAATATGCTGAAACAAAAAAACTTTAAGAAAATGAATAATAATATATTTTATGTGACTAAAGAAAAGAAGCAGAGTCAAATGCCTTCATTTTACTGATTATATGTATTAGATACCAAGAAGAAAAATGACTTGGCCCAAGATACATGACAAACCACTGGCAGAGACCAAATCTCAGAATATTTACAGGTCCAGATTTTTTTTCCAATGAAAAGGAGCCTCATTTAGTAACAGTATGTTATTCTATAGCTTTTTTCTGATATAAAATATCTAATACTACTTCTGTATTTCACCAATACAGAAATTTCTTATGCTTTCAGCTTAAGAAATCATTTCCTAGATTTATAAAGTTGAATAAAAATAATAGTTATGTGCATTATATTAATAAAAATGGTATATTTTTCCAAAATAATTATCACAATGATATGATAGTACAGATACTTCTATTTCATAGATGACAAAAATTGAGGCTCATGGGAAAAAAGAAACATACTTTAGCTCACTCAGCTTTTGTTGGAACAGCAATTCTAATTTAAAAAATAATTTAAGATTCTAAACTCTGTTTAAAGATTCTATTAAAGGTTTGAGTTAGGATTGGCCAGTCAGAATTATTAAATATAAATTGCATAAACATATTAATTTAAGTATCAAGAATTTAAATTCACTAAAAAGATTTATTTATCATTTTAAAACTCCCTTACTCTTAAAAACATGATTCAAATTGGATAATGAAAAACTGACAGAACACCAAAGGAAAAAAAAATACATATCTATTATAATTAGTAATAAATATATCCTAGAAACATATTTATTAACAGCTATCTAATAAACCCATATGTAACACTGTACCTGTCATGTAAAAATACATAACATTTTTCACCACATGAAAAATATTTTTAAAAATCCTACTATGCCATAAAGCAAGCCTGGTCAATTTCAAAGTCAATATTATAAGGCCTATTTATGAAATTTACAAATAAGTTTCAAAACCAATTTCATACTTTTGTAAACTTAAAAACAAACATCAAAATAATTTACTTGAAATAAGATACCACAATGGAAATTAAAAAATATTAAAATTAAGTTCTATTACAAATATTACTACAGTAACAAACCTGGGTAATGATTAAGCAGAATTTAGAGAAAATTCTATAGTTTTCAGTGTAAACATTATAAAAGAAAAAAAAGTCATAATAGAATGAATCAAATAAATTTAAATGTTGGCATATTGAAAAGACAAATATAAAATTTATTAATATTAACCATCAATGAATAGGAAAAAAGGAAAATAGTTATAAATTATATCAGAAATGAAGAAAAATATAACAACAAATGTAAAAATTAAAAGGATAATAAAAGAATGTAATAAAATTTGCTAAAAAATTGGAAACTTTAGGTGAAGTAGATTTTTAGAAATGTGTTACCAAAACTAACTAAAAAAATAATTGCAAAATTTAATCCTATAAACCTTAATACAATCAGTGATTTAAAGCCTTCTCACAAAAACAAAACAAAACTACCATACATAGATACATTCATAGGTTAACTAATTCGGGAGGATTTTAAACAAATAGAAGTTATAAAAATTGGAATGTAAGAGCAATATATCATTATTAAAAAATACTATGATAGTCTACATAGAAACATTTGGAATTTATAATTATGTGTGGCAAGGTTAATATATAAAAAAATCAATACATAATTTTAGTATCTTTCTATTCACCAGGAATGAACAGTATTTTTCATATAAGAAATATAAGCATTTAAAGAAACAACCAAGATTATAAGGTTCCAACCTCTAAGTAGAAAATTATAAAACTTGACTGAGATATTTAAAAAGTCCCAGATGACTAAATATATATAAAATATTGATAGATACTAAGATTTAGTATCATTAAGATGTTAATTTCCCAAGATTGGCATACAGATTCAATTTGTCATTTGAAATTCCAAAGGTGGGCATATAACTTGAAAGGCAATTCTCACATTCATATGAAAAGCTAAAATATTGAAGAGTCAAGTTTATCTGAAAATGAAAAACGTAGCATATGAAAGAGCTTTTTCAGATATTAAGGCTTATTTTAGTTAAGACACTAGTCTTAGGACATAGACCCACTTGAAAAATTCTAGAAGAAGGTAACTGACACAAAAATGTATGATTTCATTTTAAGGATTTCTTAAATAGCAAAACGTACAAACTATATATTTTATAAATCAGACTATATCTATTTAAAAATTCTGTTTGTAGAAAGGGATCCAGAAAGAGAATAAAAGTCAAACCAAAAACTGGATAAAGATAGACCAATAAACTAATATCCAGAACATATAAGAAACTCTTTTAAATTAAAAAAGGACAAAAATGAGAATAGGCAAAATACATTACTAATATTTCAAATATGAAGGAACAGAAATAGACAGTACATGTAACATTGCCCTAAATCATTAGAATTCAAGGAAAGAGTCAATGTTAATAAAGCCACAATAAAATATCATTTCATACCAATCATCATATGGGTGATGATTTAAAAGTATGGAAAATCTAGGTGTTGGTAAGGATATGGAATAAAGGAGACTCTCTCATTGTTGCTGGTAGGTATATAAACACTTAAGATATGATTTAGAAATCAATTTGATGATGCTTAGTATTAACATATTTGAGCATACACATGCCATATGAGCAACAGCAGTACTCCTTGAGCAGTATTCCATCGAGAGAGTCTACATGGGCACCGTGAGACATATCCAAGAATAGAATTTTGCTTAAACTGCTTTTATACATCAATATTATCATTTTTAATTTCTTGTAATATCAAAATATAATTGATAAAATTTCCCCACTTAAGAAAATACAAAATAATCCTAAGATTTTTACCCTGAACAATCCTTTAAGAATAAACAATCTCTTTTTCAAGTTTTGCGTGGAAATTGACAATATTATATAATGGAAATCGCACAGAACTATACCCTGGGTAACTGTGGATCTCTTGTAGATTTCATTATTAACTAGCAGTTTAGTCATACATTACTTGATAAAATCTTTTTCTTTTTAATTAATTAGTAAAATTATACTAGCATCATTTGGTATGTTCTTAAGTTAGAATACTAGGTAAAAGATATAATGGAAATTAGAAAAACATCAAGTGTAAGAGGAAAATTTTTCCAAGGAAATGGTTTCTGTAAACATTTTCCACAGGACCACGGCTGGCAGTATGTGGTGCATACCAATGCCTGTGCTTACCAGCTGCTGCCCTTGGACACCCCAGGCTGCGTACTGCAAGACGGAATCCTCTACTTCTGGAGGATTTAACTCCCAAACTTCCCTTAAAAAAATGTAAATATTTTTACATGAACAAACTGACATTTACACCAACAATTTAGTCAGACAGTTGCTCATGAAAACCAGAAAATCAAATAACTTACCTAGTATGTATATTGTAAATCACATATGAGGCAGTATATGAATAATGAAAAATCTGAAATTAAAAAAAAGAAGCATTATCAACCATAGCCCTATCTTTACATGTGTATATATGTCTGTGTGATTGTATATATCATATATATACATGATAAAAACCAGGAAATCCAGGAGTTGATGTTAAGGAGAAATCAAAATGTGAAATATTACAGTTCAGGAGTTTATTACCTCCTTTGTGCCTTTTTGCAATAACCTCCTAATGCTTCTTCCTACAACCAATACCATCCCTTATTTAATCCACTCTGCCCTTAAAATAATTATGATTATATCACCATTTGTTCAAAATTTTCATTGACTTCCCATTGCCTATAAAATAAAGTTCAATTCTAGAAGAAAATGTAGGAAAAACTCTTCTAAACATAGGCCTAGGCAAAGAATTTATGACTATGACCCTAAAGACAACTGCAACAACAACAAAAACAAATAAATGGGACTTGATTAATTTAAAAGCTTCTGTATAGCCAGAGGAAATAATCAAAAGAGTAAATGGACAACCTACAGAACAGGAGAAAATATTCACAAAATATACATCCAATCAAGAGCTCATATCCACAATCCACAAATAACTCAAACAAATCAGTAAGAAAAAACAAATCACTCCATTAAAAAGTGGGAAAAATACATGAACAGAAGTTTTATAAAAGAAGACAGACAAATATGGCCAAGAAACATATGAAAAAATGCTCTACCTTGCTAATCATCAGGGAAGTGGAAATTAAAACCACAGTGAAATATTACCTTACCACTGTCAGAATGGCCATGATTAAAAAGTCAAAATGATAGATGCCATCATGGATACAGGGAGAGAAAAACTTATTTAGTATATACTGTTGGTAGGCCTGCAAATTAATACAACCTCTATGGAAAACAGTATGGAGATTCCTCAAAGAAATAAATATAGATATACCATTCAACCTGGTATATCTATATAGATACTATAGATATCTATGTAGATACTCAGTAGTGGCAATCCCACTACTGAGTATCTACCCAAAGGATACGAAGTTATTTTATCAAAAAGACACCTGCACTGGAATGTTTGTTGCAGCACAATTCACAATCTCAAAGATGTTGATCAACCCAAGTGCCCATCAATTCATGAGTGGATTAATAAAATGTGATATACACACACACACACACACACACACACCATGGAGTACTACCCAGACATAAAACAGAATGAAATAATGTCTATTCCAGCAATTTGTATGGAACTGGAGACCATAATCCTAAGTAAAGTAAATGGAAAAACAAACGTCACATGTTCTCACTAATAAGTGGGAGCTAATCAATGGACACACATGAGAGATGCAAAGGCCATTGAAAATCAAGAAGGGAGTGAGGACTAGAAGGAGCCGTAAAAAACTACCTATCAGGTACAATCATCGTTATCTGGGTGACGGGCACACTAATAGCCCTAACTTTAACATAAAAAAAGCTATCCATTGGCCATTGATGGCAGCTGCTGGAAGCTGGGGTTGCCATCCTGGGATGTATTTCATAAGTCCTCGGGGTGAATGTTCTGGGTTTAGCATGATCCAGTGCTGGAAGTTTTGATGAGTGATATTTTCCTACTATTCCCGCACATCCTTAGAATTAACTGGTTCAGTCTTAAATGCCTGCATGGTGCCTTTTTAGGAGAAAGTGTAACCATATGTTTTTGTGAAAGTGTTTCCAGGTTAGGAAAGTTGAATCTGTTTATCTGTAAGTGGGAAGGAGGGTCAGCTAAGAGAGGTGGGAGGCCATAGCTTTTTGGTTCTGATTTTCAAACTAGTGAGGTATTTTCAAATTACTGGGTCATGTTTGCCTCTCTGGGAGCCTGCTTACATTCTAGTCCTTAAAGAATGAAAAGGACTCCTTGAATGAATAGGAAGGAAGAGGTTTAGAGGCTCCAGTGAATACTAGTTCTTTTATCTTCTATGTGGTAACTTAGATTAAACTAAGCATTGTTTCTCTATCACAGATGGTTTCCTTATGACACTGCTTTCAACATGTAAATCCGTGTTTGAAAACCTCCTTTCTGAATATAGAGTGAAGCTGTAGGAAATCCACTATTGCACCCTCTTGTCTCTTCCACCAAGACACTGTTCTTAAGGCACATCTCATGATGAACAGTTGTTAATAAAAGCTGTCTACTGGAAACTTTCTTTAGTAACAGCTCTAGAAGTTTGAAGTTCAACATATTTTTCAAATATTAATAAATACAAGGCTAAGAGCTGTCACCCTGATCTGTAGGAGCAGAACCTCTGATCGACCAAAAGGCATATGGATTTAGGTTCATTCTTTCATGTCACACATCTAGTGTGAATATGGAAATTTTTTCTGGCCAGTAGCTGAGGTTGCAGTTGACAATGGGCCTGTAACTGCTGCTGTGGCCTCTCCCTGTCTGCCAGTAAACAGTTGCAAATGCCTAGTCACCAGCGAAAATGAGGCCCACTGGGGCAAAATGGTTTTTTCTAATGTGCTTCCTTGGGAGGACCCAAATGTTAAAGGTCTACTTCTTTTTCTTCCCTGTAATTTCTGGAAAAAGTTTACTCAGACCTCCCTAAATTGAGATCATCTCAGTAGAAGTTTGGAGGGAAATTTGACAAAACCCTTCATTTCAGGGAACTGATGAGAGAGCATATGTCCATCTCGGTGGTACCAAGAAACTTATTTCCTTGTATTAAGTGCACTTCATGTATTTCTAATAAGATGACTTTCCAGAAAGTGAAATTTGTTATGTTCTGCCTTTCAAAAGGCGAAATATAAATAAATTTCATAATTTATCTAAAAAAAAGCTATCCATGTAACAAAAACATTTGTACCCCCTTAATATTTTGAAATTTAAAAAAAAGTTATACACATATACACAAACAAGTTCAAATGGCTTTATCTGATCTTTAGGATTTTGGTGTCAGGGCTTCTACACGTTTTTCCACACCTATCACCTACTACATCACAAATTAGATGAATTTTGACTGTGTTTCCAGAACTTCTGATGCTTTTTTATTTTCAATGGCATACTACCTTAATTGAGGTAGAATTTTCCCATATTGCCCCTTTAATGAATGCATATTGCTCTCCCCAATTGAAATCCTTCTATCTCACAGTGTACAGTAGACCCAGGACATTTCTCACTCTGCAGCGCAAATTGTATAAATGTTTTATGTACATTTGCCTTTCCCACTACAATGCTACCAGGTCCTGTGTGTATCACTTTTCACCCTCTCCATTACCTGGCACAGTGTCAGGTTCACATGGAACACTTGATTGGTGTTTGTTGAGTAATGATTCTGATGGGGAAAAACTCATGCATGTTGAAGTGTTTGTTGGTGAAGAGAAAGTGGGGTAATACTCCCCTGCCCTTCACAATAATGGCTGAAAATAGTATATTAAGTAGTTGAATGCAAGTGTGTAATTTCAAGAGATTTTAGTACTATCCCTGAAAAACCCTGTTTCTTTTTTAAGGCCATCTTCTCAAGGATCACAGAACCCATGACAGAATGACATTAAGTTTCAAATTAGGACCGTAGTGCATAATATAAAAATATCTCTATATTTTGGTTCTTCCTAACTAGAGATGATGAAATAGCAAAATACATGAGGAAATGTAATGAGGAATAAATGAGAAAACTTGCAATAGATGGGTTAGAAAAAGAGATGATGAGTATATTTTAGAGAAAATTATTTTTCTCCAAGCTATGTGAATCTAGTGAAGAAAATTTTTCTTTAGCTAGCTATATTATTATTTCCAGAATTTACAGAACTTATATTGATACTTTCATTTTTCAGTATACAACTGTAAAAGCTTCTTTTATTCTTGTAGTAGAGGTAACATTGCACAAATATTACAATACTGCCAATTAAACTCCCTAGAAGTCAAATTGTTATTTCTTCTCATTGCAATAATAGCTTCAATTAAACATGATTAGCCACATATTTAGCAAAGAAGTACTAGTGTTCTCTCTTTGCATTGAAATTGCAAACCTTCCCCATTTGTTAAAGTATTATATTTTACAATGAAGCTTTATTCTCCCATTTCTTTTGGAATAACCATTAAATCTGAGATTGCCTTCACTATAGGATTGCAGAAGCAAAAATAATTTTTTTCTGGTGTCTATTTTGACATTTATGTTGTATTCTATAAAACTCCATATTTGACTACAGATTTTAAATCTTGAATTTACTACCACAGCTTACAAAGAGATGAGAAGTGTGACCACCTCTGTCAACACTTATTCTGTCTCGAAAAGTTCTGTTGCCAAAGGAAACTGTCAAGCGAGCACTTGGTCGTCAAAGTAGACAAATATGTGAATGATGTTATGAATAAAAAAAGATGATTTATCTCATCTGTGCATCACCTAACACACTGCAATTGATGACTAGGCTCCCGTCCAACTTGAGAGAAAGTGTTGCTGGGCATTATCATTTTAGGCAAAGCAGGCCACCCAAACAATCACTGAGACAAAACGGGTATAAATATTGAATGCTGGTCTATTTTCATATTTGTTGTAGAGGTTGCTGGCTCTTCTCTATTTGCAAATTCAGACTTAGACATCCTCCAAATGGTGTGAACTAGAGAAGGGGATATATCAATCCACTTCCTGCTCTGTACTTCTTAGCCTGATAACGTTTGTTTCTCTCAGCAGGTGTGTTGAGATGGAAGACTATGATAAAGAAGTTAGCCCTGACTTGTCTGCAAACCCATAGTAGATTGAAGTAACAAATTATAGGGTTTTGGTCTCATCTATATGTGTCCTACAAAGCCAGAGTTTGCCATCTACAGATAATTAGAACCTAGCCCTTTATTCCCAGCTTACAGCTCTTTCCTCTAAATGCACTGTCTTTTGATGTATGTGTGTGTGTGTTCCCAGATCTCAAATACTTCTTGTTTTATAAACTTCCATAATTAAAATAGTATTCTATGCCCAAAGGTGGTAGGGGGAGGAAGGGATGGATAAATTCACTCCTAAAAGGTGCTGCCTGGGGGATGGGCACACTTGTAGCTTTGACTCG